TACCATTCCAATCAGGCTAAGACCTTGATGTCCTCTACTGTCTGAAGAAGTTGTCTTCACTCTACTCGATTGATGGCCAGGTAGTCTGCGAAGGGTCCGCAGGTCACCTTCTGTTTGGTCGATCCACCCAACCCGCTGTGCGTCTCTTCTTCTTGTGCAAGTTGGATCGCTTTCGAGAACCCTTTTCACTGGGTTGTCATTCGGCATTATTACGACGTGCCCAGCCCACCGTAGTTGCCCAATTTTTGCAGTGTGGACGATGGATGGTTCTCCCAGCAGCTGGCGCAATTCGTGGTTCATTCGCCTCCTACACGTTCCGTCTTCCATCTGCACCCCACCGTAGATAGCTCGCAACACCTTCCAAAACACCAAGGGCGCGTTAGTTCTTCACGAATATAGTCCTCGATCTCGTGGCCGTAGAAGACTGTCTTATGGATAATCAACTTCGCGGTGCAGCGAATTTTATTCGTCCGGAGCGTCCTCCGGAGTCCAAAGTAGGCACGATTCCCTGCCATTAGCGTCTGTGAATGTCTCTGCTGGTAATGTGCTCACCTACGGATTGCAAAATCAACAATGGTTTTTTTTAACTCTGTTCAATTTATGTTTGTCGTGTGTATTGATCGCTCTTTGACCCTGGTATATAATGGTTCAATTTTAAAAAAATGTTTAACACTGATGTTACAGTTCAACCTGCTTTATACCAACGACAACTTAGAAATTCTCGGTTTTTCCCAGTTGCCCATCATAGTTTTCCCAGTTTTATATAAAAAGCTACAAGTGGTTAAATTGAATACTCACAAAATGCTTCAAAATTGCATCAAATTATGTTCCATAATTTAAATAAATTAGTAAACATAAGACCGAAATTGTAAAAGCTTTTAAGAGTCTCGGAATTAAATATATTCCACTTGATAATATTTTCGAAGGCCGAATGGCTCTTTGAACCAAATGATATATTGAACTTGGCAATTTATTAAGAAAACGAAATTTCAGACACCGACAAATTTAAATATCGAATATGGAGTAATTTTCAAGACCTTAAAAAAAATTATCGCTTTATGATAACGTGTAACAGATAATTGGCAATGTTCGAAAAATTCGAATATTTTAAAATCTACTGACGCCATTTGAAACTACATACTTTAAAGATTTATTCGTTATCAATAGATTCAAAATCTATCGATAAACTACTGAGTAATGATTTTTCAAAGATTGACAATTTTCCGTTACACATTTTACCGGAGGCATCGTGTTCGGTGCAGGGCCCAACAAAGTCACTTTCATTCGAAAATCGTCAAACGGCGACGAAACTGGCAACCATCACTTTCAATTGAAAGTCATGCTGTTTTTTCTTCGAGCAGATCCCCTTGAACATCAACAGAACCAATTTCGATCAGTTTCCATGCTGTTTGTTTTGGCTTGACTCATGTTAATTACGTCTTTCATTGTCAAGTTAACTTACTTTCGCATTGAAGCGAAGCTCTAAATTCGCGCAGTTTTTCTGACTGTTGTTGATTGTGCACTCGGTTTATTTTTATCGCGATAAAAAGTGAGAAATGCTGTCAAATACCCATCAATATGAGTATTTTTGGAATCGGGATGATGTCTAATAAAAGAAAATCGATATCCAACACCATTTTGAAATCCAAGATGGCGGTTTCCAATTTTAGAAAAAGTGGGAAATACTGTTAAATACCTATCAATATAGATATTTTTGGGATCGGTATGACATCTTGAGAATGAAAATCGATATACGACGCCATTTGGAAATCCAAGATGGAGGCTTCCAATTTGAGAAAAGTGCAAAATACTGTCAAATACCATCTCAAATGGGTATTTTTGGAATTAGGGTGACGTCTATAGGCTAGAAAGTGATATCCGTCACCATTTTGAAATCCAAGATGGCGGCTTCCGATTTTATAAAAAAATGGCAAATACTGTCAAATACCCATCAATATGAGTATTTTTCGAATCGGTGTGACGTCTAGAGTTTAGAAATATAAATGAGACGCCATTTTTAAATCCAAGATGGTGGCTTCCGGTTCGAGAAAAATCAAGAAATTTTGTCAAATCTAGACTAACATTTGAAAAGGGCGTAATTCCAAAAACTTAATCCTATTTAACGACTTTCCATTTTCTGGATGATTTTATAAGTTTGACATATAGTTAATAGTGTAATCTATCATCATGCATCACTAAAAACTCAAAAAAAGTTTTCTTTGTCGTGAAATCGAGATGAAAACATCATACGCCCTGATAATTTCATACATGTTGTTACCCCCCGGATCTTCCACCCTTTGAACTGCCAACACTGGTGATACGCCATGGAAATACATCCTCGGGATTTTTTGTTTGTTGTTCCGCTTTGATTCTTCATTCGCAAATTTTGTGAGAGTGGAATTAAGCCCGGAGATTTTTTGGTCTTCTTTTTGTTCGTTGTTTACACGTGAACTATCAATCGGATGCATTTCAAATGAATCGCGCGTGACTAGATACTACAGACTCAATATGTTTGGCATATTAAAACGATATAATTCGTAGTTCTGGTGCAAGGCGTAACAACCAGATGCATCATAGAGTTGAAAGTTGGAAATACGCCATGTAAGAAGAAACGTTTTTGATGATTTGAAGTGATATTTTCTTCTACTTTTTCATGTTTATCGAGTAGTTTGTGAACTATTCTCTCTATATGTGGCAAAATATGGTTTGTTTACATTTTGGCTCTTCCGCCCCTTTCAAATGTTTGTCTAGAAATACCCATCAATATAGGTATTTTTGGAATCGAGATTATATCTAGAGAATGAAAATCGAAATGCGACGCCATTTTGAAATCCAAGATGGTGGCTTCTGATTTTATAAAAAATCGGAAATACTGCCAACTTAATATATGGGTATTTTTGGAATTGGAATGACGTCTAGAGATTGGAAATAGATATGCGACGCCATTTTGAAATCCAAGACGGTGGCTTCCGGTTCAATAAAAAGTGGGAAATTCTATCAAATACCCATCAATACGTTTTTTTTTTAAGAATTGGGGTTTCTGAAAACGGATGGGAGCCATTTTGGATTCCATCGATTTTTGGCATCTACGCATAATCCCCGTTCCGAAAATACCTATAAGTTAGGGCATTTGTCACTTTTTCTGAAAACCGATGGATTCCAAAATGGCGTCGAATATCGAATAGCTCCGCGAGATCTTTAAAATAATTCGGACAATAACTACAGGAGAGTTTGCCACACAAATTATGAGGAGAAATGCAAATGAATTCTTATGAGACTTTTAATGTGAGTAGAATTCCAAGGGAAGGAGGGAGATTCAAAAGGAAATCTGAAATGAGTTCAATGAACATTCTGAGATTTTTTCCGACGGGTTTCTTGTTAAGGAGAATTTCAAGGTAATTCCGAGGAAAATTCAAACAATATTGAATTCGGAGGTTGGTTCCAAAAACATTTTGTGGAATATTTCAATGGAATTGCGAGCAGGATTCTGAGTATGTTCTGATATTTTTTAGAGAATTCAGGGAAGCATTCCAAGTGAATTTCTAGAATAATTCTATGAGAGTTTCGGGAGAATACAAAGCATTCGCTCAGGAGAACTCCATGTGAGTTACAATAGAAATCTTCGTTGAATATGGAATGAACTGTTCTGAGGTCTTCAGAACTCTTTGACAGTTCCCAAAAATTCCAGAAATTAATGAAACTGTCTTGAACTTCTTTTGTAGTTTCAGAAACTATCCTGATGCTACAATACTTCTCATCAAATTGTTGAACTTCCCTGAGCTTGTTCGGACTTTCTAAAGTTTCCTTAATTTTCCTAACGATCATCGATCTTCTCTAAAGTTTTAACAATACGCTGATGTTCTCGAAATTTCTTTAAAATTGATGTTATTTCTCTAATGTTAATGAACTAAAAAAAAATGCAGTTCCCATTAAGCTTGTTGTACACTGCCCTGCATTTAATTGAACTGTCCTAATCCTCTGACGTTCTCTGAAAATCTCAGAACTTCTTAAAATTTCCCGCTAATGTTCTGAAACTAATGAAACTGAATTCCCCCTGAAACTCTTCCTATTTATGGAGCTTACTAATGTATACTGTATAATGGATGATTCAAACAGACCCTATTACAATTTCATTGAATGCTACCTCTCTACCACGCTAGCTTAATTCAGTGAGACCCCACTTGGGTCGTCACTCACCGCAATCGATTTCTCCCATCCTCAGTCGTCTTTTTTGCTGCCCATGCTCGTACGCTTTTCGACCATTTTCCCATTCCCATTTTCTCATGTTATCGGACATAAATTCAGTACTAACATATCAGAAGGGCCTAGCTCGAAACGTAAACAATGACCCACGCTAACTAACTACACCATCGGATAGAACAGAGTTTGCGTGGGTGTGTTGTCATTCATGAGAAATCGACGTCGTTGTTTACGTTTCGAGTTAGGCCCTTCTTACTCGTTGTTACTGCATTATTACTCTCTCACCACCATCATCATCAGCCTCACACACACACTGAAACCCATAGATGTGGGTGAGTTCCAATTCCTGCACTCCAACCGACACGACAATCACCCGCGCACGGCACTGCTCACCCGAACCTGAACTCAGTCCCAGTGTCCCCCAGTGTCGATTTTCTCCTCCCGTACCCATTCCAGGCGCGCACACCGCCCGGTCCGTTCGTTCGTTAGTTTAGGTTCGTTTCCCTGGTATTAATTTACTTTTCCTTTTGTGTTTCCTTTATTTTTTGTTCATGTGGAATCGATTCAGTTAGCAGCAACTGTTACTCGTATTTTGCTTCTTTCCAAGTGGGAAAGGAAGCAAGCAAAGGGAGCGATTTGGTCATCGTTGTTGGAACGAACGGGGAAAAAAAGGCACCGAAGTCGCAGCAAACAGACTGGAACAGCGAGCTCAGTCTGTTACCGCAGTAACCACATAACAAAAAAGAAAAGAAACTGAAAAATGCAATTATTGTTCTGCTGCGTTGCAGTCATCAACTTACACCGCCGAGCTCCTTGATGGTGGATTCGATCTCGTTCGCTAGCTGGTGCCGCTGGATGTCCAAGTAGAAACGGTGATATATCAAGGGTCTCGGGCCTTTCACGAGTTTCACTTTATCTGCAAACAAAAGGAAGAAGAAAGAACCGGACGTGTTAAATTTTTTTTTAGCTGCAAATATGTCGTCGGTGGGTTTGCCACGTTTCGAATCGCTCAAGCAATCGTTCGTTCCGAAAAGGAAAAAAAAATCACAATCGAAGCTACCTCAGCAGTAGGTAGATAAATACATAGTAGGCAAGTACTATCAGTTTGTTTTGCTCGCACCCATACCGAGGGCCGTGGTCCAAGTAGGCCATGCGCTTTGTTTGTTTATGATTGTTGATTCGTAAACCTTGCGCGCGTGAGAGAAAAATGATAACAAAAACAAAAACTCGAATAACAATCATACAAAAAAAAGTCGCTTGCAAACGCAGAAAATTGAGAGAGTTAAGCGGATGTGTGTGTTTGTGTGTGTGTGTGTATGAGTGGTGTTCAGCACAAATGTGGGGGTGAATCAAAATATGCACAAATGAATGTGAAGAGTGTCACAAGTGACTGACTGTTGCCCAATGGAAAGAAGATTTGTTTACAGCTCGGAGAACCAATATGGCCAAGGTTTCCATGGTGAATGGGTTGTATACACAGAAAAACAATAAAAAATTAACGTGTTAAGCGGGAACGTTGATGTTTATTTTCCACAGTACAGAGTGTAATTACAAACCATTAGGCAAATGGTAGTGATTTCCGTTTACAAAATAGACTATTGCGAACAGTTTCATTAGAACCATTTACTAACTTAGACCAAACAGCTGGTAGCGGTGTTAATGCCCGGTTCACACTTATGCTGATTCGCCAGTGCATGTGAGCCTGCAGGGCTGATAGTGGGTATGTGATGTAAGTGACCAATAGTGACATTTATTGATCGGAAAGATATGGTTCCAATCATCCGTTATTCCGGTACTTTTCATGCTATGGTACATGACGGCGTCGGCAATACCTTATTCTATTATCGTCAGGGGGTAAACAACATCCTTGAGAGCTCAATTTTGGCATGTGGATACATTGTGTTTCAGAGCATTTATTGGCCAAATTTGAGTGCTCTAGAACATTAAATACCGCCTGACGATAATAGGTTAAGGTATTGCCGAAGCCGACATTTCCCCTATTCAAAAATAAAACAAATGATTTAAGGATCACATAAATTTGTTATCGAAAAATAAGTATAAATTGATTGATGATGATTGGAAAATTTATGTTGAAAAATCTGAAAAGAGGGGCAAGTTCTATTTCTAATCTAATCTAACATCAACACAGCCAGTTCTTGAAAGCATCCTGGAAAATGATATATAGGGTTACGGTATGTAATGTGGGTCTAGTCCTTTCATTCGGCCTATCACGCAAATAAATAATTAATTAAGGAATATTACACAAAAAATAAGGAAAATATTGATCACTGATGATTGATAAATGTGTACCACACACAAATCAATTTATATCACAACATTTCAATACATTTTCAGCTCTCGTAAGTAATAAAACTGGTTGAGAATATCACTCTGTTCGGAGTTTTTAGCCGCCATGACTTCTAAGGTTAAGATGGGAAGGTTGCACTGACGATCATCAAATGGCCTGATTATGGCATTTATTGAATGGAATTACCTGATAATACACACTAGACGTAAAACTCACAGTTACTGTTTGAATATTTTATGTTTATTTTAATTGTTTAACAACGTTTTCACAAGTAAATCATGGACCCAACTTTAGGGACACATTTCTTTTCTATGTTCCTAACTTTGGCCCATGAAATTCATTTGACAGCATATAGCAATAAGAGTAACGTCAACAATGTGGTTTGCATTTGGATGATAAGGAACGAACAGGAAGGGAGATTTTTTCTGCCAAATCTGTATAATGAACATCACAATGTTTTGATTTAGATATTCTGCGGTCGAAAGACGATAAGCGAAATTTTTAATTTTTAATTTTTAACTTGAGTGATTTAATGTAGTTTTCGTAAAATTTTCTCTAAGAAATGTTTTGAGGAATGAAGAGTATTAAGTTAACAGTGATAGTGATAAAAAAAAATACATAAGAAAACGTTACCAAGAGCGTTTTTTTTGAGAATCAAACAGGATAGGACGAAGTTGCATCCATAAATAGACCCAATTTGGGGACAATAGACCGATATTACATACATTTCCCTGGTGAGTTTTTGTCTTAAAAAAAGTAAGTTTTTCAACTTTTTGCGGTTCCTGATAGCAAACGACATGATAAGCATATCTAAGCATACCATTTAGCAGTAGAATATCGTTTGCAGGTAAATTAATTGATGAGTTATGATTAAAAACGTAATCTATGGCTGCATATTAGACCGAGGTTAGGGACGTATACCCTATATACCTACATCATTTTTCTTGTCTATTTGATATATGTGTCACATCGAAGATGCGTCACACATATCAAAACGGCCAGTCCTATTGTGCAGCAATTAAGGGGCAAGATGATTCAGAAAGCTCCTGCATCGATCCTGCTCCAGTTTGCACTTCTCTAGAGCAGCTGTGGGTCAAAATAACGACGCCTCGTAGATCAATAAGTATTGGCGCTATGTATCTACATACCTCCAGACCGGAAATCTGATTCGAGCAGCATTGCAAACCACATCAGTTCGATTGGTACCGTGTTCTCTCGACTAGAACAAAACGACCTAGCTCTGGTATTTGGCGACTACAATCAGTCTGGGCTCTCATGGAACGTTCCTGCAAACGATCTTCCTAGCATTGATGTTCTTCGCTCGAACATGCCCGCATCCTGCTGTGCTCTCCTTGATGGTTTCAACCTGCATGGCTTAACGCAAATCAACTCGATACTGAATAGCAACTCTCGGCTACTTGATCTCGTTCTGGCGAACGAAGCTGCAGGACTGCAATGTTCTATCCTAGAAGCCCCAGAGCCTTTGATTGGCATCGACACCAATCATCCTGCGTTGGAAGTTTCCATCAACCTATCTGTTCCTGTTCGCTACGATAACGCCCCTGTTGATGTACATGAGCTCAACTTTCGTAGAGCAGATTTCGTCGCGCTGAGTCACTCGCTTGCCCAGGCAGATTGGCAGTTCCTTGACACGTGTTCGTCTATTGATGAAGCCGTCGACTACTTCGCTGAGGTCGTTGGCCGGGCAATAACTGATTCTGTCCCATTGAGCCTCTCCCAAACCCGCATGGTCCAATGCTCGACTACGGAATTTGAAGCGTCTGAGATCGAAGGCCCTCCGTAAATACTGTCGTACTCGGAACCCATTCACCAAACGATTATTTTCAACAGCGAGCAATGAATATCGCACATATAACCGCATTCTTTACAAGAGCTACACAAGGCGTGTACAGGCTAATTTACGGCTTAATCCAAAGCAGTTCTGGTCATTCGTGAATACCAAACGAAACGAGGAGGGGCTACCAGTCGAAATTCACCTGGGTGATAGAATCGCCAGCAATTCCCTAGCGAAATGTAACCTTCTGGCAGAACTTTTCTAAAGCATTTTCAATGACACTACGTCTTCGTTGTCCCAAGTTGCTGAAGCGGTGAGGGACACCTTTCAATTTTTCGATTACCTCGGTTACAGTAGACCTCGTCGAATCCGCCATCAAGAAGCTGAAATTTTCTAATGCTGCTGGCCCTGACGGGATCCCCTCAAGCATCCTGAAGCGATGCTGTTCAGAGCTTACAACACCGCTTTCGAAGCTGTTCAATATTTCATTACAGCAGTTGGACGCATTATTCTCTAGCTGCAGAAATTACATTTCACCTGACCAACACGGTTTTTATCCCAAGAGATCAGTTTCAACAAATGTAGCTCCGTTCGGAGCGCAGGTGGACGTTGTATATACAGATCTTAAGGCTGTATTCGACCGGGTTGACCACTCCATACTGCTAGCTAAACTTGAAAAACTCGGTGTATCCTCGGGTTTAACTCGTTGGTTCAAGTCCTATCTGACCAATCGGAAACTTTGTGTTAGAATCGGATCAGAGCAATCGGACTGTTTTACAAACAGCTCCGGTGTTCCTCAAGGTAGCAACTTGGGACCATTGCTATTCTCGATTTTTGTGAATGAGACCGGACTGATCCTCCCAACTGGTTGCCGATCGTTCTACGCGGATGATGTGAAGGTCTATGTGATTGTTCGTAGCTTCGCCGATTGCTTGCGGTTTCAGCACCTAATCGATACTTTCGAAGAGTGGTGCTCAAGAAACTATCTCACGTTGAATGTACAAAAATGTAATATTATCTCATTTAATTGCAAGCTGGTAAATCACCAACTTCTGCACCTTGTGGACAATGTTCGTGACCTAGGAATCACGCTGGACTGCGCCTTAACATTCAAGCTTCATTACTCGGGCATCGTTGCGAAAGGTAACAGGCAACTCGGGTTCTTTTTCGAGATCGCTGACGAGTTTCGCGATCCTGCCTGTCTAAAAGCTCTATACTGCTCTCTAGTGCGATCGATCTTGGAATTCAGCTCGGTAGTATGGTGCCCGTATCAAGCAGTTTGGATAGCGAGGATTGAATCTGTTCAAAGGAAATTTGTTCGGTATGCCTCTCGTCATCTTCCTTGGAATGACCATGTGAACCTTCCGCCGTACGAAGATTGTTGTCAACTCCTGGGTGAAACACTAGAACATAGGCCGACGATTAGTCAGGCCGTGTTCGCAGCGAAAGTACTTATTGGTGACATCGACTCTCCAGGAATCTTGGCTGAATTCGAAATCTACGCACCCGAACGAGTTCTTCGGTCGAGGAGTTTCCTGCATCTTGGACCTCGTGCTGCGAACTACAGCTTGCATGACCCAATACGGTTCATGTCTGGGCGTTTCTACGAGTTTTACGAGTTTTTCGACTTTAACTGTGCAGCGGAAACCTTTCGGGGGGAGAGGTAGCTCATCGATTCTTCCGATTCGCCTCCTAGCATCGTGCTATAAGGTACCAGGCGATAACCAGGGTAGTTGATCGATAGCTCGATGACGTCATTTCGTTGGCGTCTGCAATGGGAAATTCTCATAGCAGGCGTTGACGATGGGACGTT